ACTACAAGCAGTGCTGGACGTGTCAGGTAGCATGTGTGTGGCATGTAGCATCTTTAGCAGCTAAACATCAAACCAAGAGTGTCAAAACAAAATAAAATAACATTTTATAATATTTGAATAATGAATACAAAAACTGACGTCATATAAAATGTCGTAGAGAAAGTATTTGTTGTTTGACTAAGTTCAAACAATATTTTTTTAATTCTTGTTTTCTGAAAGGGTTAAACTGGAAGTTAGAAGTAAAACTCTGGTTTTGGATTGGCCGATGTGCCACAAATGATCCAACCCACTTTCAAATTAAACCAATAGAAAACTAACARCAGATTTGTGTCCCACCAGTCATCAGTCGCTAACCGTCTAAGCAGTTAATGTTTGCTTACTCAAATTTTTTCTTATTGTTTAGTGTTAGTGGAGCTAAAATTCTTTTTAAATCACACTTCATAAAATCCTAACTGTATAAGTTTCCTCTGATATGCTTGTGTTGCAGTTTCACCTTACTAGGCGTTTATTCAGACATAAGTCACTGGATAAATCAATAAACACAAATAAAAACAATAAAATCATCATTATATACAGTGCATCGATTATAAAGCAATCCTTTTTATGCTTTTCTACATTCTGTGCAACACAAGATGCATACACACTTGAAAAGCAAACTGTGACAAAGCTTAGTCAAGTGCAAAGCATAATGCTGACATAATGAAGTGTTGATTGCTTCCCCTGACATTTTGTTGCCTAGGCGAAGACCCCCGACCCACTAAAACCTGTTGCACAACCCCAGACTGGAGCTTTATAATCACCTCACAATGTAAGCAAGGATGGTTTGGTGATTTTTTTTCCTTTGCTTTTAGGAAAGTTATTGTTTATTAAATAAATAAAGGAAGGTGTATTTGTACACGTATCAAACTCAGACTAAGCCTTATGTGAAACATGATGACCCCGGTGTTTAGTGCTCTGTACCCAGAACTACCTGAGCTAAACTTTCACAACAGATGTGAGCACATCTGAGCTGCAGTAACTTCAGTCGTCCTAAAAATGTTTGACAGGATGCAGCACTTCCCTTGTGGTCTGAGCTGCAGTCCAACAGAATGTCACCGAGCAACAGCTAAGAGTAGCAGATGGATGCAAGTGAACTTTCAGAAGCGGAAAATAAGATAGCATCGCAGCCACACAAAGACACGTGCATGCTAATTTTGCATGAGTGCTTTATGTCTTTCAGCGACCAAGAAGAGTGTTCGTCATATATTTGGGGCCATCAAAAACCTTCATATGAACCCGAAGCCCAGTGAACTGGCAGCTCATGAATAAAGAGGAGGAGAGACATCAAAAAGGTGCCGGGGCCCCGTTTTCCAAAACTGCGCTTGGTTGTTCCAGGCAGTATGCAACCCCTACAATTTACTCACAAAGCACAGCACAAACACACACACACACAAAACTGTGCCTAAAAACAATAAGTGAGCAATTGTCCAACAACCACTTGGCCTTCAACACATGCAATCCATCCATCAACACGTTGGTTCAACCAGAACCAAATAACTTTGAGATGCACCAATCAGTTTTCTTGGCTTATTTAAATTGCCCGATTTAGACGTTATTGGTTTTTTGTTAAAAACTACATMCAAAGGAGCATTTTTTTGGGATTGAGTAAAAAAAACCTTGTGTTCTGAAGTCCAACTAGAAAAGAATGACAGTTTTCTTTTAGAAACCATATTACAGCTTCTTGTAGGACTGGGTATCGATACAGATTTCCCAAATCAATTCGATTCATGATTCAGTTTGATTGATTTTTAAATTAATTAAGGATATCATGCAGTAACACATTTACTTTGATATAGAAGACATTCTCAAAGGAATTAATTCTGCAAATAGTAGAAACTAATTCTAACTTGGTGCATTGGTAAAATTATAAACAGAGAGAATCGATCTCATGATATATGAATTGATTTTCCCAAATCTGAACGAAAATTGATCCAGATCTATTAAACTGATTTGTTTAACCCAGCCCTAGCTTCTTGGCATTAGGGCTGGGCGATATGATCAAAATTTTAATTCACGGTATTTTCAACATTTTCACGGTATTTGACGGTATTTTTCTTTTCATCACAGCTCAGC